CCTGCATGTACCTGTAGAGCCGGTAGTTGCAGGGGCCGGACATGAAGTGGGGGCCCGAGGTCTCGCTGAGGCCGTAGCCTGCGTACAAGGGGATGTTGAGGCCCAGGAAGAAGTGCTGCGTCTCAGCGGTCATGGGGGCAGCCCCGTAGAAGCTCTTCTGACACTTGGCAAAGCCCAGCGCCTGGCGGACCTTGGCGAGCACTAGGTAATCTGCCAGTCTGGCCGTGAAGGGCTTCAGGTCGCTGCGGGGGGAGGAGGAATGGTCCACGGAGGAACCCACACGCGCTCACAGGAGCAAGGCGGGTATTCGGCGGGTGCACGCTGGCTGGCCGTTGTGAGCGAGCACGCACGCGCGGGTGTGTGTGCACTGGTGTGCACTACGTCCTGAGCCCGGAGGCCAAGCAGGCTGGGTGTGTACAGGCGCGGGGACTTGAAGTATGTCTGCTTGGACGTGCGGGGCCAACGGGCGTGACCCCATCTGAAGCCCACAAATGAGTCGTGCACGGATATTCACTCCCCGTGTCCGTGCACACGAGGCCGTGTTTGCAGACATGCATACGCATCTCACGGGACATGATACCATTTCCCAGACTTGCTAGTGAGGGAGAACATTCCTACCGTGGAACAGGCCAGGTTTATGCCATGGCCCCTCCCCCAGCACTGTGCACTATGTGGGAATTTGAAAAGCAGTCCGCAGGCTCTGTGGTCACTCGGAGGCTGGAAAGCCCGGAAGAGGGCTGGTCACTGTGGCCCCTTCCCTGGCCCCCTGCTGCGTCAGGACACCCCACAGGAGCCTGTGAGGAGCTCGGGGGAGGGGAACGCCACCCAGCGGGAGCGAGTCAGTCCTGCCAGTCAGAACCCAGAGGTGGGGTGACCATCTCCTGTGGGGTCTGGAAGAGGTCTCCAGCCCAGCACCTGATGGGGCCTCTGCACGGGGGTCCCCAGGACAAGCCCAGCCCAGCAGATCCTCAGGTGCATGCTGGCCTTATGCCCCAGCCCTGCTGGCCACCCCCCACCCTGGTCTCCTGTCCCCTGGCCTTCCATACCTGCCTGGGCAGGTGAGGTTCTGCTCCAAGGTCACCGACATGGCCCAGAGCAGCATCTTGCGCCGGATGAAGCCAGACTGAGCCGCCACCGCCTGGATCTGCTCCATGAACTTCTCCCACACTCGAGGCACCCCCATGTGGGACGTGGGCTCCACCTCCCGCAGCGTGTTCACCAGGCTCCCCTGTCCAGCACCAGAGAGGAAGGCGTGCCGGCTCAGTGCCAGGAGGCCCCCCACGCCAGAGTCAGGTGCACACACCCCACAGGCATCCTGCACAGGTGCACACACCTGCACACAACGTGTCCCAAGCTGTCGGCCGCCACTGGGCGGCCATCCCTGCTGCTCATGTGGCCAGATGCTTCAAGGCTCCTCAGTCCCCTCCCAGCCCTGGGGGTGGCCGCTCTTTCCTCTCTAACCTGAACATGACCATCCCCCTTAAGCAGTGACCAGTATAGGAACGGACGAGGGACGATCTGGGCCAGGAGGTGCAGGTGGGGGAGGTGTGCCAGGGGGCATCTGGGAGAGCTCTCCTCATGCTTAAAATACGTTTCCAAAGAATGGGGGGTAGTTGATGAGACTGGGAAGCGGGGCGGTGCTGTGGCCACCTGTGGCCTTCCTCTGAGGACCACCTATCCTGGACGGCATGTGGACCCCTCTCCTCTACATACCATCGTCAGCCGCCTCTCGGTTGGTCATGTGGGCCATGCTGACTGTGGGGGAAGAGTGCTGACCCGTAAATGCACGGGGGGCCCACCCACTCACATGCACGCTCACGGGTACACACTCAGGTGGGTGTGCGGCACACGAGCTCAGAGGCCCGCTCAGGCGGAGGAGGACTGACCTTTAGGGCGTCAGGCTCGGCGAAGCAGACCTGGGCCCCCCACTGGATGCCCGTCCACAAGTCGTAGATCTGAGCGGCGATGTGGCTGAGGGGCAGGTAGCTGACCACCACCTCCTGCTGGACTTCCGCGGGCTGGATGTTGCCGGCCTGGCTGCCATACCGTGCTGTCCACGTGATCTGGAGGACAAGCGCACGGGCCCCAGCAGTGTCTCCCAGCCAGCCCTGGAAGTGCTCACCCCGGGGGCTCCGGCGCCCTCTTCAGGGGTTCCTCCCACCCAGGGCGTCCCTGCGGGGAATTCGCAGAACAGGCCTCCCCTCCCCATCCCCTTCACTGGACTCGGTCTGGACCACAGACCCAAAAGCCGTCCTACATGTCCTGACTCCCCCCACCCCCCGGGCTGAGGGGCCAGAAGAGTGTCCCCAGGGGCTGCTAGGGCAGGTCCAGTGCCCAGATCCACCTGCAGCCAAGCCCACCCATCTGGGCTCCATCCTACATTGTCTTGACTTAGCATCACGCCCTTGGGGCTCCCGGTGGTGCCGGAGGTGTAGACCAGCACACAGCACTGGTTAGGCTGCTGGGTGTTGATGATGGAGTCCAGGGCCTCCTCGGGCAGCTCATCCCCCAGCTCCATGAGCTCCTCCATCTGCAGCGGGTGGGTGAGCGTGGGCGCTCCGTCAGCAGGGCGGCCGCACTGGCCCCCTGCCCCCCATGCCCCTCCACACGTACCGTGTACACACTGGCCATCTTCTCTGGAGGTGCTTCTCCATATATCACTACAGCCTTCAGATGGGGCAGGTCTTTCCAGGTCTGTGTTGGTGGGAAAAGTAATGGGGTTTCATTGAAAAAAAGTTACCTGCTGAGAAGAGCCTCCTCACCAGCTGCTGGCCTGCCCGTCAGGCACTTTGGTCACTGGGTTTCCAGGCTCTGACCTTTGACACCTGTCCCTCTTCATGCACGGCTGTCCCCTCATGGGGAAACCAAGCGTCCCAGGGCCCGGTTGAATGAAGTATGGCTTATCCTACAACTTTGCAGAAGAGAGGGGGACGGAGGGGGGAGGGGGCAGAAGGGGGGAGGAGGACAGAGAGGGGAGGGGGACAGAGGGGGGAGGGGGACAGAGCAGGGGAGGGGGACAGAG